GAGAGAGAAATCACCAGATTTTGGCTCAAATAGTAGAGCCTGGGATTAATTTTTTAAGATTTGTTTGTCAATTTCAAAAACTCAGTAGTGGAATAAAGAGCTTAATACAGGTATGCAAAAAGGCAGCCCCCGAGACGTTTTCACCAGGATGAAATGGGATTAGCTTTGTAGGTCTTATAATCTTCCTCACAGAAGAATGCAATTTCAGTTTCACTGGCTTTGATTTATGTGCTTGGTGAATGATCTTTAGTTTAACATATTTATAATTTCTGAATGGTGGTGGCAGGCTGGTCCTTAAAGGGACATCTTGCTTTAAAAATGCTATAAATTCCTTTACGGTTTGGTCCAAGTTAACTCCGTGATACACTACAGGTTTGAAATTGCGATGTTCAAAGGAACGAATGAGGCGAACTGTGATGGTCACTTCTTCAGGAGCCATGTGAAGAAATTCTTCCGTGGTCCCCACCTGCTCCCGGCGTCCCCCTCGGCTCCTCGAAACTTTGTCTTTTGACCAACATCTCCTCATTCCCTCCCCCCAACCCCAACCCTATGGTAACCACCTCTACTCTCTACTTCTATGAGTTCCACTTTTTCAGATTTCACATATTAGATCATGCAGTATTTTTTCTTCTGCATCTGGCTTATTTCACTTAGTGTAACGTCCTCCAGATTTATCCAATTGTCACAAACGATAGAATCTCCTTCTTTTTTTTTTTTTTTTGAGACAGTGTCTCACTCTGTTACCCAAGCTAGAGTGCAGTGGCATCATCATACCTCATTGCAACCTCAAACTCCTAGGCTCCAGGGATCCTCCTGCCTCAGCCTCCTGAGTACCTGGGACTACAGGTATACACCACCACACCTGGCTAATTTTTCTATTTTTTGTAGAGACAGGGTCTTACTCTTCCTCAGGCTGGTCTCGAACTCCTGACCTCAAGTGATCCTCCTGCCTCGGCCTCCCAGAGTGCTAGGATACAGGCATAAACCACCTCGCCAGCCTGAATTTCCTTCTTTGTAAAGGCCGTTAAGTATTCTATTGTGTATATATGCCACATTTTTCTTATTAACTCATCAGCTGATAGACACTTAGATTGATTCCAAATCTTGGTATTGTAAATAATGCTGCAGTCAACATGGGAATGCAGCTATCCCTTTGACATATTGATTTCAATTCTTTTGGAAACATCCCCAGAAGTGGGATTGCTGGATCATGCAGTAGTTCTATTTTTAGTTTTCTGAGGAATTTCCATAATAGCTGTACTAATTTACATTCCCACCAACAGTGTACAAGGGTTCTCTTGCCATCACTTGTCATCTTTCATCATTTTGCCAATAGCCATTCTAACAGGTATTAAGTAATATCTCATTGTGGTTTTGTTTGTTTGTTTTAAATAGACGGGGTCTCAGTTTGTTGCTCAGGCTGGAGTAGAGTGGCAACATCATCGCTCACGGCAGCCTCCAACTCCTGCACTCAAGTGATCCTCCTGCCTCAGACTCCCGAGTAGCTGAGATTATAGGAACACACCACCACATCGGCTATTTTTCTTTTATTTTTTGTAGATATGGGGTCTCACTATTCCCCAGGGTGGTCTCAGACTCCTGACCTCAAGCGATCCTCCTGCCTCAGCCTCCCAAAGTGCTAGGATTATAGGCATGAGCCACTGTAATCCAAAAATTTACTTAAAGTCACTCTTTCATGCATTTGCCCATCCAGTTCACGGTGAGGAGAGTAAGGTAAGGAACAAGGAAATAGAAAAAGGATGGCAGGAAATATGCCAAAATGCTAACTAACATTCATCTTATCCCTAGGTGCTGAGATTAAGGGCAATTTTTATTTTCTTGTTTTTACTAACTCTATTTTCTAAATGTTTCCGTAGCAATTTTGTATCACTTCTGTAATAATAATAAAATAATAAAAATATAATTTGAGCAAGATGAAAATATGGTCATCTTAAAACTTCCTAAGCAGAATATCAAATCAAGCCTCATTTTCAAACATGGTGGAAGCTCAAACCAATTTCTTAGCATCAGTCTTCCTAAAGCTAAACCATACTGTGTCTTGCCATCAGTTACCCTGTCATGCTATTCCCTTCTCAGAATCCAATATACAGAGCATAAAATACAAACTTTTTGGCTTTATGCAAAGCATTTCTGAATAATTTGGCTCAATTTTACCTTTCTATTTTTATCTACCGATACTATCAAGTCCTCAGTTTTTCTAGGAGGAACCTAGTACAAAGAACTCAGGCCTCAGAGTCAAAGAACCTGGCCAATACATAATCTCTTGGCCTCAGGTCCTTCAATGGGGAACAGTTGTGAAGATTAAATTTTTAAGTAAGTAATGCACTCAGCATTCAACAAGCCTTCAAAATAAATGGTGGTTCTCATTATTGTCATTGTTAGCTAAATGGGTTTTTATTCACTGACTTCTCAAAAAGCTTTGCACGTTTATATATCTGTTTTATGTATCACTATTTTGCTCCTTTCTGAGTTCCTTCCCTATCTTCTAAAATCCTATTAAAATTCAAGGTCCAGTTCAAGTCCCCTCTTCGAAGAAGGCTTCCCTGACTCTGCCAAGTTAATATGATCTCTCACTCCTTTGAACTTCTACAGCACTTAAAATTTATTCTACCCAAATGGTGGTGTCTTAGTTGATTTATTAAATATTAGTTCTTTTTCCATCAATGTAAGTCCCCAAGCAGAACGTAATTCCTTGCTAGCAGACATTCTATCTTACACACACCTTGATACCTTTCTGATGTCTCATGCATAACCAGGCACATACTAGATGCTCAAAAATTGTGCTAATCTGATTTATGGATTTGAAAGAAAGTCATTACAATAAAAATACTGGCTAAATATTTTTGTAGTGGACTATAAAGTCTAAGGATAGAATATTTCAAATAAGCAGTATAATTTAATTTCATGATTTAGTACCATTGACCAAATAAATAAGCCATACTTAAGCCATATGATTTCTCTCTAGTCCAATATAAGTATATAAAATATTAGCAATAAATGACCCTAAGTGGATAGCACTTTAAATTTTTCAAAGTGTCTTACACATAAGCCCTAATTAAATTTATATTGAATTGTCTTATTTGGTCTCATTTGAAAATATATTGCCTCACTAACATATCA